GTGAAAATCTGTCAACACTGCGTCCACCTCGTGATCACGGCCGCCATTTTGTTTGTCTCTTCAGTACGAGTGCAGAAGCCTTGTATACGATACGCATGTTCAGTTTAGTTGATTTTGTGTTGTGTTTTGATTTCGTTCTTGTTATTGTAGTTATATCTGTTTAATATTGTGTATATGCTTAGTATTGTGGGTAAACTGTATGCTAAGGTGTTAATTGAAAGAGTTATGAAAGAAACTGATGGAAAAATTTTGGGATGTGCAAGCGGGTTTTAGAAAGGGAATGGGGTGTACAGATCAAGTCTTTTCCATGCGCATGATTGCGGAGAAGTTTTTGGCCAAAAACCAAAAAGTTTTTTATGCGTTCATGGACTTGGAAAAGGCTTATGACAGAGTGGACAGGAATGTGTTATGGCAAACACTGAACTCATATGGGTTGAGCGCTGGTTTGATACAGGCATTAAGGTCTCTTTATAGGAACTCTAGTGCTTGTGTCACGATCAATGGGGTCTACTCGGACTGGTTTGGCATCCAAAAAGGTGTCAGACAGGGCTGTGTAGCTTCCCCTTGGCTGTTCAACCTATTGTTGGACAGCAAACTTTGAAAGATGAAGAATGTGGGATAAGAATAGGCGAGTTAACCGTCAAATGCCTTCTGTATGCCGATGATCAAGTCATATTTGCGTCATCGGCGGCTGAGTTGCAAATGATGGTTACATTAATGAACTGGGAATTAAAAGAAAGGGGAATGAAAGTGAACGCAAGTAAGACGAAAGTGATGGTTTTTGAAAGAGAAGAAAGCAGAACGGTATGTGAAATAAGAATAGAAGAAGAGTTAATTGAGCAAGTGGACGAGTTTGTGTATTTGGGATATGTATTTAGCAGGGATGGTAGATATGATAGGGATATAGAACGACGAGTAAATGCAGGGAATAGAGTGAATGGGGCACTACACTCTATTATGAAGAACCAGAATGTGTCAAAAAAGGCACTATTTAATCTAAGGATAAAAATAGTTCATTCACACTTCTGTTATAATAATAGGTAATAATAGGTAGGTTCTTTAGTTAAGTGCTTGATGATAAATTTTAATGCTTCTTCTATGAATAATAATGAAAAATTATCGATATCGATCCGCACATCAGAGTCCATCACACATCGATATGACACCATTACCCTATAGTTGTCGCGTGGATTACAATAGTAAACCACTGTAAAATAATCTCAAATTTAGATATTTCTGAAACCAAATGATTAGAAAAAATAGGTAAATTGATTTGTGATCTAACTTTGAAATTAATGTGATATTATCATAAATTAATACGTAAAAGTTTTTTAAATATTATAATAGGAATAGGGACGTATAAATAGTTTTTGTTTATTAAATATGATTGACTGTTGACTGAATGTTACCCTGTTTCATATTTATAATAAAATAAAAATAAATTTTAATTGATATTTTAAAGATTTCTTCTTATTTTAAATTGAATTACATACGTAATCCACGTGACCATTTACGTTATTTTATAATGTGCGACCACTAGCAGGGTTTAGTAGTATCGTTAAACTTTTGTTGTTTATATGTTACTAATATAAACTAGTCTCGTAACGAATGCCATTGTGCTTACGTGTTCAATTTTAAACCTAATTTGTAACGTCTAATAGTTGACTTTAAAAAAATAAATATATAACTAATCTCGTGGCGAGTCCGCATCTCACATTTCGATTATAATTACGATGTTTATGAAATATTATGTACTCGATTATCTTATCGGTAAAGTTCTCGATTATTACTTATGATATTATTTTAACTGATTATAATAGAAAGAAAGCATATATCACAATAAAAAATACTTACATATGAAATGTAACTCCATCTATTAAAAATATGTTAATGTAATTTAAATCTACATTATACAATAATTCAAATTATAACAAAATTTATAAAAAGTCTACTTTTTGGTTCGCTAGACATTTTTAAAACTATATTGTCTACTTAAATATATAATCTAACTATCAAAAAGTTAAGCACCCCTGCTATTCCTAATAACATTGCATTGGTTTTGTTTACATTTGGTATCACTTCTCGTTGGCCGTACTTTAGCTACCCATCGCTATGAGCCAAGCAAAAATTCGTGTTCTTGAACGAGCGTACTGCAAGCGTTTGGTTCGTGCTCGATTGTAAAGTCGTTAAAAACGGCTATAAATCAATAGCACGCTACAGACTATAAACTATAAATTTCTAGCGCGCTATTAAATACGCTATGTTATAGCGCGCTATTTATAAGAAAGCGTGTAGGAGGCCGGCGAGCGCGTTAAGTTTTGCAGCACGTTAAATCTCGTAGCAGGTTCGACATTACATGTCGTTCATTGGATAGACCGCGTGCTATATTAGAACCTTATTTCGTAATAAGTCGCATTTTAGACTAAAATGAAATAAAGCGGTAAAGAAAAACCAATTAATTTTTTTTCATACTTTTCAGTCTTAAGATTTTCTATAATCCTAAAAATATTTTTAAGACAAGTACTTTTTAAAACGAAATTAAATTAATTCTCTCTTATTATAATTGTTGTAAAAGTTATTTTAACATTTATATAAACTATAAAGCAAATAAAGGTTTATTTAAAATTTATTGATTGTATTTATAAAAATTAACTATTTACATAAACTATTATATACACTTTTGTATTATATCGTTGTGTTATTTTGATATATGTTGAATTATATCAAAATAATACAACGATATGGGTCCCAAAACATGAGGGTTACCTTAAAAAAAATAAAAAGATTGATGCATGGTCTTGTATATCCCAAGATTCATCCATATCCGCCACGAGCAGCGAGCACACTACGGAAAACTACGTTCGAGGAGAATGATTGTTGTAGGCTTGATGTACGCTTGACACTGCGAGTGAACCGGCTCAGCTTGTGCTCGGCTCCTACAGCGTAGACCCACCTCAATAACCACAACTTTTTCTGCCACAAGGACGGCACGGCACCATTTAAGATTGAGGTGTAATATTTGACAGCTTTCAAGCGGGGAAGCCTAAATAAACAAAAACACAGATATTTATCAAAGAAGATAATAAAAAAAAAGTTAAAATAGTGCAAAAAATCAAAAAGTAAGCCAATGAGGCATTATTTTCTGTATTTATAATATAATACTCTAGAAACTGAAAATCTTTTATTTAAAGCTACTTTACAAACTTTAAAATGGTTATTTTTTAATCAATGAAATTTAATAGAAGATCTAGCATAAAATGGTAATTAAGTAATGCGGAATTTCATAATATCGTGGTAAATTAATTCGTTAATAAGGTGTTTACTGAATGATGATAGTGAAATCTACTTCTTCCGGTGTATTTATCCTTATCCTTAGTCTTATTATGGGTTTCACAGGAAATAATAATCGTAAACATGTAACCAAGTACACTTTGACATATTTATTTCCTTGTGTTTATCTAATTGGTACCGAGTTTGCTTCACGGAACGTACCCAAAGGGAACTGCTACGATATTTTAAATACCGCAGCACTACCGTGGTTATCCAGCTCCACCAATACTACCAATAAATAGACTATGAACGCACTACCTGTTTTTCTCTGCTCTTTCAAAATATTATCCATCATTCATTCATTAACTACAACCTATGATATACCTATATAGTAAAAAGTTAACTGCTAACCATTATTATTTTATGTTGTTGTCAGAGAGATACTGCGGCATATCTCCTATTTCATTTCCCTCTGTCACCTTTTTCGGGTTGGTATAGCGTATTAGAGCTTTTTAGTATGAGCTAGTGGGTTCTCTCACGTGTTATTCCCAAATATTTTTATCTAGTCTTTCTCGATGATTTTATTTTCTGTTAAGTAAGTGCTAAATCACCATATAAAATTGGGATTACAAATAGGATCCGACTCACTTATATACCACGTGAATTTCAAGTATTAGTATTCGCACCTCGATAACTATCAGTTTTTAAAGTTTAAAGCTTTAAAACAACCTATATACTTCCCACTGGGCACAGGCTTCTGAGTCCCCTGAGAGAGATTAAGGGCTAGGAAGTGTCATTTACATTGCCCCAATGCATGTTGGTGGACTTCACGTGTTTTAGTAATATTTTTTATTTTATTTATCAGACACGCAGATTTTCGTCGTCGTAAATTGAACCTGGTTTGCTCACATACTGTGAAATTTACAGCCAGCGGTAAATCCCTTAACTACCACGGCTCTTCTTAAAGTTTACGACACGAGTATTTGCAACGTAATATAATCACTATCACTTGATCTCGAAATCAATACACTTGATGGCTCTTATAATATGAGTACTATTTTCTTTACACTTTTAGATTTAAACAAAGTAATAAATAAACGAACAAAAATGAGTAGAGCAGAGAATTCCGCAGCAACAGTTACAAAAACAGGACATATATCACAGACACAGTTTAAAAGATAGTGTCCATCGAAATGTGTTGGAAGATATTAGAATGTTAATTCGAAATAGGCTACTGCAACCACGATATTATAAAAAAATAATTTGCTTTTTATATTCCGTCATTGGAACTGTGTAACTTGTTGCCAAATTTGCCATAAGCGTGTAAACTTTGAACGTTCTTGAATTAATTCAAAATGTCTGAAAATAGCTCAAAATGTTCGCAAAAAACGATAGCCAAATGTATATTACGTGAATACACATCGTGTGGTCAGAACGGCTAAAATAAATCTTTGTTTTTAAATAAATATGATTAGTTTCTAGTTTATGTAGTTAAAACGAAGTCTGCATTTTAATATGATATTTATTCTATATGTTCACAGACTACTAATACTAAGAAGATACTATGCTGATGTTATCTATGCTTTGTGTGATTTTAAGAAAAAAGTTGGGTTGTGCATGTCTCAAAAAATGGCGAATGATAAATTTTTGTTCATTGTTTGAAAGCACAATCTTCAAGAACATTTATACCGTGTAGAATACTCGATAGTGTAATTCCATTAAATTCAAAAATGGCTGACGCTTTAGTTGAGCGAAGACCAACTGCTCGTTTCTTCTGCCATAGGTGTAACATTGAATTTGAAGATGTTTTGCAGGTAAAAATCAATAAATATTTAATTGTTATTATCAAGATTCGAATACATTATGACGCATATTTACACTGGTGATTTTAACACAGTTTTCAAGGTCACTCGAGCTGAGTTTTCCACGTTTTCTATATTCCTGTTTATGACATGTTAATCTCCTGTATGTATAAGTTATTGTCGGTGCAACCAATTATAAGTGTAATTTTATTTCCCCATGTTACCTACTTTATATTTTTTATTATGTATAATCTATTATTACACAAAATTGCATCATTTCCTAAATCTATACATTTCTACAAATAAATTAAATTCTATATACAAAGTGTCTGTTTGTAATGTCAAAATAACAGTTTTATACTCAGTACTTATAACAAAAAACACTTTATATTTTTTTGTCTGTATGTTTGTTTTGGCTAATCTCCGTAACGGCTAGACCAATATTGACGGGGCATTTTCTGGCAGATAGGTGATGTTATGAGGAGTAACATAGGCTACTTTTATTTTAGAAAATAAAATAGGGTTCCGTGCTATAAAAAAAATCAAATCTATTAAATCCAATCATTATGAATTCCACACGGGCAAAGTTGCGAGGAACAGATGGTATTTTCTTAAAATTCACAATTACAGGCAATCTATGCATGTATTCTCAGAATGATAAAACTCTTTAAATTTCAAACTATGCCATTTAAAAATTTACAATGATACCTTTTTATTAGATTTCATTTTTCATGAAGAGTAAGAACTACTCTATGAACAATATAGTTTAGGAAATATCTACAAAACTTATATCTATATAAGTAATATGTCAGTTTATGTACATTTTAAATGTTTGTTTTTACGCCATGACTCACAATATCAGCATTAGTCAAAAAAAAAGGACAAAGTATAAAATATGTAGATTACTGCTTGGAATTGAACAGCATTAATAATTTATGAGCTAAAATTATGAGTGGTATTAAAAAGTTTATTTGGTGTTCGGAATGAAGGAACAGATTAGTAAGCTGATGTGGTGATGGGTCAGCTTATATCTCAAAGTACTCACAACCGATGAGGAAGAAAGGTTATCAAGTGGCAGCTTAGCTACCGATAGGTGAAATGTGGGTAGGTGAAGTGTAGGTGTAAACCTGGCAAGACATGTAAGAAGTCGATGGATGCAGGTGGCTCAGGAACATGCTTTGTGGCATTTCTTGGTCTATGTTCAGCAGTGGACTTGTGAAGGGCTGTAATAAATGAATGAATGAAACCCAGCTTGTCCACAGTTAGGTGATGATGATGATGATAGGTGGTGGGACTCCTTTCCTGTTCAGCAGTCCATCTGGGTGCTACTCTCTTATCATCAAGCAGTTGTGTATGATTGCTGTTTTCTGATTTGACGGGTATAGAAAGCCAGTAGAATTGCAGGCTGTAAGGCATTCAATCTTAATGCTCAGTGATTCGTGAAATGACAGTCTGATTGGTCTGACTGAGCATTTGTACATTCTTTGCTTAAAACTGATTAAAGGTTTCCATAGGCAGTATAGAAGGCACCATCATGTGGACTCTTTAGTTTGCTTGTCACTTGAAATTTGTAAAAAAAAATGATATAAATAATCTGGGTGTCTATAAATGGTTGAGTTTTTTAGGTAATCTCTATTCTCATCACCTAATAATTTTGTATTTGGACCTCTCTGATAGTAGGAAGGATTGCTGATTAATAGTGTGCAAAAATTACAACGAATAAATTGCCTATTTTTATCTAATATTTCAGGATTATACTTGTCCATACTGTGCGAGTGGTTTTATTGAACAACTGGAGAATGAGGCGGAAGGACATGGGCTGTCGGGTGATGACTTCAGTGATGCAGACATGAGTAACTTGGAAGATATGAGTAATATTGATGAAATGAGCAATCTAGATGATTCAGATGATTTAAACCAAGTAAGTATTTAATTTATTTAAATCAAGTTAGCTGTCAACATATAGTAAAGTCTGTCCACACATATTTAAAAGTGCTATTTCATTTATATTTTAAAAAATATACCAAGCGAATGTCAGCAGCGTGAAAATCACAATTATTTCAATAGCTGTGTTTGGCAGAAAAAAGCGCTAACAAGTGCTTGTAAGCAAAATGGCGATCATAAGTGGTAAGCGCTGTCAAATCGTAGATAGCTATTTTCCTCTAGGACACAAAGTTAGCTTTAACCGGGGAACCTAACCTAATTTAAATATATGTTTGTAAAGTATTCATATTAAAAACTTACCAATCATGAATTTTTAATAACATGTATAATATGTTTATTCATGTCATTATATTTTTTTTATTTTTTACATTATTGAAACTAATATTGCATAAAACAACTTATAAACTCTACTTCAAAGTAAATAAGCAAAATGGCAGATTATGTCAGCGCTACTGAAGTTAGCAAATGTGTTCTGGCCGAAAACTGTTTAGTTTCGCCATTTTGCTTACAATACAAACTTTCTAGCGCTTTTTCTGCCAAACGCAGCCAATATAAATTACTTGAAATTATTTACGTAAAAAGATAAATTATATTCACACAAAAACTTTCATTACAATTTTATAATAAAACACTATACTAAAACACTAATAAAATACTAGAAAAATCCAAAAATCAATATAATAACATACATGAGAAAATGGTGTACAAAATAAACATAGATTGTAAATAAATATAGGCTAACAGATTTATTATTACACTAGAGAATAGAGTATTTCATATTGATAATATAATGTCAAACTTCTTCATAGAAAAGTAGTCTCTATATATAAGTTTTTATGGGTTAAAGTGCTGTGGGTGGGTGCGACCATATTCCGTCAAATCCCTAGCGATCTCATGAGACCCCTGGGGATTGAGAGATTATGTAACTAACCATTTTGTGACAATCTTTGTTAACACCATTGCTATTTTATTTATCTGTGACAATTTGCACAATATAGAATAACATGACATTAAATAATACATTAATATCTTTAATCAACTGGTTGACATTAAATAGCATATCCATTGTACAAATAAAGAAGTGTTGCCAATAATGAGATAGTTTTATCATAGATATGTTGCATCTAATTTAGTAAGTTCTGGGGCACCACAGCTGAAAACCATGGTAATTTTATACTATAGCGGTCCCCTCGTTTTTTGGCTCTAGAAAATCTAAAAATCATCCGATTTCGATGATTTTTTTAAAAAATCTTTATTTTTACAGCGGATTAACGAAAAAATTACAGGAATAAAAAATGAAAGTTTTATTGGTTTCAGGGCTTTAAATTTTGTAATGAAAATGCACTCATTCACATATAATTGTTGATAAATTTTTTACAAATAATTGAATGAAGTTGTTATATTTTTTCATAATCTACGAGAAATAACAAGCAAATTAAAAAAAACATTGAAAAATGTTAGTTTTTCTGGTGTTTTATTGAGTTTTAGATCGAGTGAAGTGAGTTCGGGACTTAGAGCATCCCGACTCGGACAGGTTAGGTTAGGTTCGTAGTTATTTTTTTATAAACCACTTAGAAGTAGTAAACCACTTTCCTCGACTGAGCTGCGAGGTTTAGTGACCCCGACACCCCGCCATCTCCTAACCTAACCAGTCCGAGTCGGAATGCCTTAAGTCCCGAGCTCGCTTCGCTAAAAAATTAATAAGTAAACATTATTGTGATTTTCTTTTTAAACAGTGCATTTTTTTGTGTAAATTAACAAAAAAATATATAAACTTCGTTTAATGCTTCGCAAAAAAGTTATGAACGATTATATTCGAAGAAGTGCATTTATGAGCACATTTAAAGTCATAAAACTATATGAAATCTTCAGGTGAGATATTTCCTATAATTTTTTTCATAAATCCATGGTGGATTTATGAAAAATTCATCAGAATCGGATAATTTTTCGATTTTCTAGAGCCAAAAAACGAGGGGACCGCGAAAGTATAAAATTACCAAAACCATAAGTAGTTTCAAAGCTCAAAAGTGAACTACTACTATTCACCATACCAGGTCTCTGACACTTGCTACCTGTGCAAAATAATTACATAAAAACGAGTAGGTTGTAGGCGATTGAATATTAAAGTTTTTAACACTGCTTACGTAAATAGCTTTTTTATAAATACTTGTTGAAATGGTTTTTGTTTGGTGTTTAGTGTATTTAATTGTAGGATAAAATAGTTGAAGTTTTAATGTAATTTAAAATTAATATATATTATTTGATAAATTATAATGGCAAAACGTCATTCGTTCTTACTATAATTGTTGCATTGATGGATGCTAAATGCTCAGATATATAAGATTCATATATATCATTCTTTAAGTTACCGAGGGATTTTACTAGGAAGCTATGAAAAGTGATACTATACTTACAGCAAAAAAGAATCAAGTAATAATTTAACCACAGAATTATACCTAAGTACTTCATTACAAAACTTTGTTGAAATTTACTTCACTATCCAAGTATCTACTTACATACCTATACCTGTATTTGTAATTAAAATATTTTAAGTTATAATAACACAAAATATTGAAATTGAAACTATTTACTAACAAGATTTTTAGCTAAATAGAATACAACCACATTTCTGTTAGGAATCGTATTTCAGGTTTATTTGTTGTTTACACTATCTACATATTTCTTCCGAGCCAATATCGCGATTTCCGACGAATGGCCTTGCAAGTTGCATGCGTTGGGCATCACAGAACTCATATAGGTCTACAAAATATAGTCAGTCGATCATAGTCAAAATAGGTACTTCACCTAAGTAACTGAAACTAGATGTGACCGCTCAGACCCGTCCAACTACCGGCCTATCGCCATCACCTCCTTGTTCTCCAAAACAATGGAGTCTATTGTTAACTGCCAGCTCATGAGGTACCTTGAGGATCACCAGCTGATTAGTGATCGCCAATACGGTTTTCGCCGTGGTCGATCAGCTGGTGATCTTCTGGTCTACCTAATTCATAGATGTGCGGAGGCAGTAGAGTCCAAGGAGAAGGCATTGGCCGTTAGTTTGGACATTGCGAAGGTCTTTGATCGGGTTTGACAAAAAGTGCTTTTTTCGAAGCTTCCTTCCTATGGGCTTCCCGAGAAATTGTGCGATTGGATCACCAGCTTTCTTGCAGATCGGAGCATCAAGGTCGTTGTAGACGGTGCAAGCTCTGCTTACAAGCCTATTAATGCTGGTGTTCCACAAGGCTGCGTGCTATCGCCAACGCTGTTTCTTCTGCATATCAATGATATGTAGCAAACCCGTAACATTCATTGCTATTTAAATGACAGTACTGGTGACGCTCTTTACACCGGCCGTGCCAATATTTCTCGGGAAAATGTCTCCGAGTACTGGGACAAACTTGTGTCTGAAGTCGAGTCTTTGCTGAACGGAGTCTCGCATTGGGGGCGACTAAATCTAGTCCAGTTTAACCCCCAGAAGACAAAAGTTTACGCGTTAACCGCTAAAAAGAACCCCTTTGTCGTATCTTCTCAGTTTCAAAGGGAGTGCCTTGTTGCCTCAGCTAGTATCGGAATCCTCAGCGTCGACATATCGAGTGACGTGCAGTTTCGTGGTCACTTGGAAGAGAAGGGCAAATTGGTCTCTAAAAAGTTTGGCGTGCTCAGCAGAGCGCAGGCACAGGTTACAAGGCACAGGTTCAGCCGCACATGGAATACTGTTCCCATCTCTGGGCTGGGGCTTCCCAGTACCGGTTCCTTCCATTTGACTGCATCCAGCGCAGAGCGGCTCGAATCGTCGACGACCGAGTGACTTCCGATCGGCTCGATTCCCTGGCGTTGCGAAGAGTTGTTGCATCTCTTTGCATTTTCATTTGCATATACCATGGGGAGTGCTCCGAGGAATTGTTCGGATTAATCCCAGCCGCCAAATTTCGTGAACGTCGCGCACTGTACGTTTCACGAGGAGTTTTCTTCCGCGTATGACCTTCGTGTGGAATAATTTACCACCGGCGATTTTTCCGGACCGATACGACCTGGGGACCTTCAAGAAAAGAGCTTACTCCTTTCTAAAGGGCCGGCAACGCACCTGCAATTCCCCTGGTGTTGCGGTTGCTCATGGGCGGCGGTAGTCACTTTACATCAGGTGAGCCGCATGTTCGTTTGCATCTTCTATAAAAAAAACTGAATTACCATTTCGCAATGTATTTTTTTACTCTTTATTGACAGCCCTTAGTAACCACGAAAAGTCCGTTGTGACGTAGGAAGGGGAAAAGATGCAAAGTAAAACGGACACTCGCGCGCAGCGGTAAAGTTTTATTTAGCTTGCGTGCTTTGTATATCTAATTATTAATAATTATGTAGGCTATTAAATGTCGGCAAAAAGTCAACATCAAAGGACTGCAAATTCTGTATGTAGTACTATTATTTATTCTGTGACTCTACTCTCATAAGCATAAAATTTCAACACCCGCCAGCCCTATCCCATGGAAAGTTATCGCCATAATATCGACACTATATAAGCAACCCATAAATGTAAAACTTCTCCATAGAATAAGTGTGAATAGAATGGTACTCAACATTAATAACAAAATACAACTGTCCATTAGCTATCTGCCATTGAAAGTCCCATTAAAATCCGTACCGTCGTTTCGGAGATTAGCTGGAACAATCAGACAGACAAAAATTTTAATTTTTTTTGTTAAAGTACTGTATACTACATTTCATATGCATACTATATTTCATATGCATTTAGTAAAAAGCTGTTATTTTGACATTACAAACAGACAGTTCCATTTTATTTATTTGTGTAGATAAATTCTTTATGAAGTATTTATAATAACAAAAGCAGTGACATAAAATTGCCTATTTGGAATTGGACTCAAAAATAAAATGTGGTAATTGTGAACTACTAACCTCGAATTTCGAAGACACGTGAAGTTTGACAACACGCATTGGGGCAGCGCGGCGGACACTTCCTTG